TTAATCCCCAGAGCAAACACGAACACTCCCAAATCCACTTTTATTTACAGAGTGATCAAAGAGTGGAACATGTTCCCGTTATCACTGATATAAACTGTACAAGATTCTACTGAAGAAAAGCACTTTTCAAAAATTGGTTTTCAGATTTGTGTAAAATCAATGAGCAAAGCACTCAACTCTGTGAATCTGAGGGGAGAAAAATGGCTCCCCCCCAAGGCTCAAGGAACCACTCGCCCATTCACACACACCACACACTCACACACCAATGTACACAGACAATGGGTGTGGGTTAAGTGTCTTGCCCATGGACACAAAGAGAGTATTTTTCTTTGGTAGCTAGAATCACCCCACTAACCTGTGGGTGAGTGGATCTGACTGTTCTACCAATGATGTTTTGTCAAGAGCAGGATTCAGGTGCCAACCTTCAGGTCAGTGGAGACATTCTACTAACTGAGGTAGTGTTGCCCAATGACCAATGAGCTCCTTTGTTTCCCACACCTCACTGAAATAAACAAACCTAATTGGACGGCTCTGTCTGAGTTTGGCCTGAGATGCAGAGGAGGATGTGGTGACCAGACTGTATTCTAAATGTTTTATATGCTGATAGAGAAAATGTTGCACTTGTGTTCACTTCTGATATACAGTATTAATACAAAAAAAAAAAAGGTTTAAAAATGCACCACAGAATTCTGATCTGTCCTTTCCCTCCTTTTTAAATATCCTGTTTGATTGTAGAATTCTGTCGTGCAAACTAACAACACCTTGGATAAAAGAAGAAAACTGATAGAAGCTCTTTCAGGTGAATGCAGTTCACTTTTGCTGTTGTTTCTCTTTCACACACACACACAAAGAGTGTTACTATGAGCCGCCTACACATACCTGGGCCTGTCCTGACGTGTGTGTGTGTGTGCGTGTACGTGTGTGTGTGTCATGTCTGTCTGTGTGCACGCCTCACCTGCATACCACATGTACACACAGCCAGGCTACTGTCTACTCTATACTGTGTACTGCACCACCAGACCTGTACTGCACCATTATACTGTCTACTGTCAGCTGCACCACCACACTGTCTCCTGCACCACCGGACTGTCTCCTGCACCACCAGAATGTCTCCTGCACCACCAGAATGTCTCCTGCACCACCACACTGTCTCCTGCACCACCACACTGTCTGCTGCACCACCGGACTGTCTCCTGCACCACCACACTGTCTCCTGCACCAGACATACCAGGCTACACCAGGCATGTACTCTATCTATTAGAGCAGGTCACAGGTTTAACCAGTGAAAGCCTTGCCAAAAGTAATGTCCCTCATTCATGAAGCATTCTTATAAACACATTTGTGCTTGAGGGCTTTTTAACATTCATAAAATGCGTTCTTAATTGAAAATGTTCTTCTGGAATTACAAATCCTATCAACAGTCAGGAGCACTCATACAAACAATTCTGCTGTTTTAGAATATTATTATAATATTTATGAATAAAAAATTAATCGCATGAGTTTGAGTGATTAATTGTGATTAATTGCGATTAATCGCATGTTATACACAAAACCAATTAATGAATTCAAAAGTAGCATATAGTGCACTTTTATTGGAAATGTAAATGAAAGAGCCATACATTTGTTGTGCAAACAGCATTTCTTTCAGAGGGAAACCCTCAGAGCCTTCAAGGTATTCAGTGAAGGCCCAAGAAAAAATATTGAATGGACTTTTGTACTACTAATATATTTTTCCAATATTTTTTATGTACTGAGTAATAAACATTACACTAGTAATAATTTCTAGATCATTGTTATAAACTTGGACTGATATTTCTTGGGAAACAAAGGGTTAATATAATGGAATGGAAATGGACCAATCACAGTTTTTCTTACAGTGGTATCTGAGTAAATCAGTGACTCCTTCTGCAGCACTGAACAAAAGAAACAAGCTCAGCTCAGAGCGCTCGGCTGGTTCGGCCAGAGCGACTCGCGGAGGCGCGGACACGTTGCATCTCACATGGTCAGAAAAAAGTGAAAAAAAGTATAAAGAAAAGACATCAAACTTAAAGAAATGCTCACAGTGGATTTTTTCAAAATAAAAGCCAGTGAGAAACAGACGTTTACAATAAAATAAATAAATAATAAAAACTGCGTTAACAGCGTTAAAATAATTGTCAGCGATAATGACTTAATTAGTTAACGCAAAATTAACGCATTAACGTGCCTGGCCCTAATAATATTATAATATAACATTATACTTATAGCACAACCAAAAATTCTGATACCTGCTGATTATTAGACATATATTTCTTTGAAAACAATACTACATAAAACAATGGTGTTTAAAAGTGGAGTTCCACAGAGAATAGTCTATATGGTCTAACAGACTCATGCAAGGCTGCTGTTCTGCAGACAGCAGTGACAGTGACCCTCACTCTCTCCCCCGCTCTGTACCACTAAAGATGCTCTTTTACATGTCCAAAGCAATGCTAGTAGAGAGACTCACATCTGAACTGCTAAAGTAATACTAAAATCCCATGCATTTCAGAAAGTGTTTCTGCAATATTGTGTTTTTGCACAGGATTCTGCTTAGTACATAACTGCAGCATTGACAGTTGCACCAACTCAAAAAGCATGTTGGGTGTGATCGTGATATACTGTTCAACATTTTGACTGTAAACAGTGAGAAATTTGAGTTTGCTCACTGTCATCTCTGGATCAGATCTTTCTTTTGGCAAATTCAATGTGACTTTGTGGGCTGTTTTATCACTTTATGAAGTCTGAAGGCTGAGGAGGAGCGGCAGAGGATTCTGTGCTAGTACCTGGTTCACTCCTGTGTAGGGATCAAATTTTTCTAATTCTGACTTGGTTTGGTGGATAGTACCTGTGGTAAATACTTGTCATAGTTTTGCACAAAAAAAGCCAACAAGCATCAATCAATCCTAAATGTGTAACTAGTGTCAGTTAAAATTACCTTTAAACCATAAGAATACTGTGGTGAGTTTGTGGAATCCATTATAGAGCTAAAACAAATGAGTCCACATTGTGTGGATTTGATGTTGTCTGTCTGTGGACAGAACCATAGTAACAGACAAATCCCCTCATACCTCCTCCCCTCATGTTCTGCTCTACTGTTTCTCTTAAAAGGTGCATTTCAGATAATTTCACTCAATACCTGAATTTCCCTTTGGGGATCAATAAATTATTATCTATCTACCATTCTATCTCTCTCTCTATCCTTCTATCTATACACCACAGGTCTGTGGTGAGTGAGGGCTGCACAGGCACCATTTACTTACTGCTAATAGTTTGCTCATATAATATACATGTGGCTGTATTCCAGCTCACACTGTTGACTCAGACCAGCATACACTGCATTATTTTTACACTGTTGTTTTGGCTCATTCACTAAACCACCATCACGTCTGTATTTGCACACAAATATAGCATTAAATTTTGTCACACTGTAAACACTGGTTTTGCACTTAATAACTTTGAACAGTATGGTATTAAATCTACAGTATGGTATTAAATCTCTCTCTCATATATATATATATATATATATATAATGTGTGTATGTATGTATGTATAGTACAGAATAGTGTGTATAGTGTACAGAAACATCTGTGCAGAGTACGAGCTGGAGACCCCAAGATCAAGGTGGGAAACACCTCCAAAGGTTGTGGAGAACGACTGAGCCAAGATCCTGTGGGACTTGACAGGATGGTGATGAACCAACCAGACATAGTGGTGGTGGATAAGAAACAGCAGAGCCTTGGTGGTGGACATCGCAATACCAAGCGATGGTAATATCAGGAAAAAGGACCAAGAGAAACTAGAGAAATACCAGGGGCTCAAGGAGGAGCTGGAGAGAGCCTGGAAAGTAAAGGCATCAGTGGTGCCTGTGGTGATCGGACACTCGGGGCTGTAACCCCCAAACTGGAAGAGACTACAACAGATACTGGGAAAAACAATGGACATCTCAGTCCAGAAAAGTGCAGTACTGGGGACAGCAAAGATACTGAAGAACTCTCAGGCCCCCAGGCCTCTGGTAGAGAACCCGAGCTGGATGAGGGTGAGAGACCTACCACCGTGGAAGGTGAGGAGCATGTAAAGTTTGTGATTGTGAACATAAAAAACAAAAACAGTTGGACGATCATAGTAAACAGATATTTGATTTGCTTATTTAAAAAGCACCATCTCAGGGCACAAAGACCAGGGTTTAGAGTTGACAGCGCAGAATGGACCATACACAGCTAGAACAAATGCAATTGGCCTTCTGTAATAATGAGACTGACACTGACGCACCAAAGTCATTATCCACGAGCAGCGCGGTCTCCCGCTCCTCTGGGTGACTGAAGTATGGACCCCCACGCACGGCAGGCTCACTCTCTCTGCTTCATAACGTTTAATGCACGCACATTTTAAAGCTGTGATGCTAAAGGGCAAAGAGCAGGGCTTGTGTTTGGCTCTGGGCGCTCCTGGTCTCATCTCACAGTCTGCTCTCAAATTCCTATGAACTTCAAAACAACGAATAACCAGAACGTGATCGCTATTTATTTTCGGCTAATAACCAACCAAAACGCACAATGAATGTCTGCTTAGGAAAAAATAAAAATAAAAAATCCGAGTCAGTCCTTTATTTTTAGTTGCATGTTGTGGCAAATAAACACATAAAGCCCCTGTCGCTCTCTCTTTCCACTCCGCGCGTCTACACGCACTCCTCACACTCACATTAAAATTTCATGATGAAGCTTAGTAAAGTTTTCAGACGCATAAACTACAGCGCACGAGTGAAATAGTCTCCTCTCCAAAACACAGACACGCGCTACAACATCTGTGCACGCGCTCTCTGGAGGGTCACCTTTAACCTGCGCTGGTTCTGTGATGCCGCCCGCGCGTGCGTTTCCACGCGTACCGCATCTGAAAACAGGCTAATAAAGCGGATAATAAAGCGATAGATGGGACATGTCCGCTGTGGCGATGCGCGCGTGCAGTGCGGATGTGCGCTTTCTTACCGCGCTGCTCTTCTCCGCCGCTCACGCTCTCTCCCGGCTCGTTGCCGTGCTCTTTACACTCCATTGGTCTAGAATCCGCGCTCCTCCGCTGCTGTGTCTGTGCTGTCGCTGTACTGTCCACAGGTCTGAGCTGAGAGCATCGAGCCTCAGAGCCGCCTGCGCTGTTGCGTGGAAACGCTGGTCAGCAGCTAACACTTGTTCATCGTTTTGGCAGAGGTGTTAGACGCCTGTCAAACTGTTCTTCAAACACGACTCAAACGTCGCGTGTGTCCAGCTGAGCCGCAGCCGCGCTCTGCTGCTCCGTGGAGGGGGTCATCTGTCAGAGGACAGGTCCTTCACGTCTCTCCCGCGTGCACATACGAATGGCATTAACCACTCAGGCTCCGTGTGCGCTCCTCCATAATGCGTGAGGAAGCGAACTAGAATCGTGCCAAAACAGACAGGATGGGGGTGCGTTCAAATCCCACGCGAAAATTGGACATGGGAATCTCGGTGCACATACGAATTCTCCAATGCAATGAGGCTAATGACTGATGTTCCAAATGTTACAGTAGCCTACGACAAGTTACGCTACGTACGTGTGAACGTACCATGATTCTACACATACGCTGGAAGAATAACAATGACCACTACTACTAAAAACATAAAGTCCATCTACAGCCAGCCATGTGTATACAGTGTGTCAGAGGCCCCCAGGAGCCCGCCTGAGGGCTCTGCAGCCTCATGTATTTGTATGCGGGCTCTTGTATTTGTGACCTATATTTGTTTGAATTGAATAACACGTGAAGCACATACACACAGTGTATGCTCATGGAGTATTGTTTCCAGTTCTCGCTTTGTGACAGAGAAATGTCACATCCTACTGGAGATAACACACGCCGCGTGCACACGTCACAGCCTACATCCCCCGCGTCCGTGTAACCTACAGTTTAATTTTATTGTAGATTTGTGTAGACTAACCTTCTGGGCCAGTATCTGCATGTATACTGTCAGGATGGATTCGTTCTATTAGATTTGGTCAGTGCTTTGTCTCTGGCATGTACCTCAGCTCTGGTTCCCGCTGCGCTGGAGCTTCATACTGGACAGAGCATCACCATCTGGGACTATACGTCATCTCTGAGAATTTATAATCTCATGTTACGGTTAAGAGCGTTTTTCCAACGAAACGTGAACGCAGCGTGTTCCCCAGCGCCAGCATCACTATGCCGCCCACGCGCACGGGGCTATTCCAGGCGCGCGCGTGAACATCAGCTCCTGTCACATAGACTCCAACAGCAGCTACACACGCACCAGCACGGGCAGTGCGTGTAGTACAAGTATTATGTCAAAAGCATACGGGAACTTTAGCAATACACTGCCAAATTCTCACTTTTAGCCAAGCGTCAGTAAGTGTGTTATGTTTCCAGCCTTCCCAGTTGCATCAAGCTGCACCTCCAAACTTTAATGCCATAGGCTACTCGTCACAGTGTGGAGCACGAGCCGACGGGGCGTGCGTAAAAGCCAAACCAAAACAAGGCGACACGGAGCGCTCGCACAATCGCAGTACTTGAACCAAACCACGGGTAATCACAAGTAGTACAAGCCATTCAAAACTGAGCGCGGGCCAATGACACGAGCCACACACGTACTACACTCGCTTCGGGGCAAATCATGCGACCTAGCCTTTTTAGTCGTGCGTCAGTGGAACAGCAGCGTCTAACTGTAACCCGTCGAGTTTCTGCGGGTGAATGTCACACATGTAGGCTAAGAGTAGGGAATCGAGCTGTATGCGCACGTCACGTAAAGCAGGCAAGTGGCAATAAGAGTAATATACCGTAAAGCCCTTACCTTGTATCCGGGGTTTGCGTCCCCGGCAGGGTGCGGAGCGGAATGATCCAGGTGTAACGTCGGGCAGGTAGCCGTGCACAGACAGGGAGGGGGGGGAGGAAGAGGAGGAGGAGGAGGAGGAGTGGAAGAGCCGCTGCAGGACACACGTGGTTCAGGTGGAAGCTCTCTTAACAATAAGGTCAAGGAAGTAACATGGACTGTGCAATTATCTATAATATTTATACAACATTAAAAAAAAAAAACATGACAAAGGTTCAAATTAACCATCAACTAAATCGAAGCGAAAATTACTTAGAAACCATCCCCCGTCTCTAAAATTCAACAATTCATTTATAATCGTACCATTTACTGTGCAGATTACAATGAACCAGCCAATCCATTATTTTTAAAGTTTTAAAACCTGAAACATTTTGTATTTGGTGGTTTTTACATACTGAAAATAATAAAATAAAATAATATCTTATAAAATCATTACTATACTATACTATTTTGGGAGCAGTGTAATAAGTTTGTTTCCTCATCACAAACATGTGGAGTTTTGTTTCATTCACACATGTTTAAACCCTAGGCTCAGTTTTTCTCTCAAACGCAAAACACTAAATGTAATTTTGTTACACTGGAAGACCAAATGGACCCCTTTGTACCTGTTCCACCTTGTGATGTTATGTGGTAAAACAGGGAGAGCGCCACTGTGTTTTTAAACTCCATACACCTTCACTAGAATCATCTGGTCTCTACAAACAAAAGTACCTTGAAAACTGTTCATGACCTGACAAGGTCAAACAGCATTTTGAGCTTTGGAGATTCAGACAAAGCTCAAAATCTTTACAGAATATGTTTAAAATCAGAGATAGTCAATGTGAGCTTAGAGGTACGGCTATGTTTATAAAAGAGAAAATCAGAACAAATATAAGAAAATGTTGTATATCTGTGAAAGGGTGGACCTCTTGAATAACTGCACTTTAAGAAGTTTAAATGTTTACATAAAAGTTCAGTTAAATCATACTTTATTTTTACATGAATTCTTATTTCTAATATTTAACTCCAAATTTAGCTCCAAATTCTGTCCTATAATTGCAGGCCTCAGTGAGCTTCATTTGACCGAAGGCAAATGCTGGAGGTGATGTCACCCTCTCTTAGTCCACTTCTTTATGTAGTCTATGTGTGTGCCGTAGACAGCAGCTGGAGATGGGCTTGTGTCAGCAGAGCAGGCAAGGGGGGTGTGGGGGGTCAGCACCTTGGGCAGGTGGGAATAACAAGGCTACCCCTCCTGGAGCTTTTGTCAAGAACTCATCTGCTCTCCACTGTGACTAAAAATCCCCAGTCAGGTGTGTACTTCTGTAAAGACTCCAGGTGAACTTTACCTAGCAAATAACAAACAAATGGATCACTGCATATTCAAAGTCTGATGACCTATGTCCTTCCTGTTATCTTCAAGCCACAGTAACAGTCACTTTTTAGACAAAAATAAAAGCATTTTTCCATTTTGGTTGTGTTTATAGCATTGATGCATCCTCACTGTGAGCAGGCTCACATCTCCACAAACCTGACTCTTACTTGGCCTGGAGGAGGGCCTCTTCTGGCTTGTTTCCATAGAAACAAGGCATTCAAACTATGAATGGACATATGGAACGCAGTAAATAAAAAAATAAAAAAACTCAAAATTACTCCAAACATGTTTAACCATCCTTTGCTTTGATCACTTAGTTTGACCCTGACATGGCACAGATGTGAACTGAAAACCATGAAAACCATTTCAGAGAGAAAGTCAAGGGTTTATATATATATATATATATATATATATATATATATATATATATTATATATATATATATATATATATAATATATATATATATATATATATATGTGTGTATGTGTATATATATATATATATATATATATTATTTTTTTTTTTTATTATTATTATTATTTTTTATACAGGGTTTATAACACATTAATAAAAGTTCAGTTGAAGTCTGGTTTGCACATCCTGACATGCTGAGAAAAGCCTGTAGACTTAAAGTGCTTCTCTGTGATGGTTCTGGTGATATGGGCGCAGCATACCACACTGGACCAGGCGCTAATGACAAAGCATATTATATACCACAGCTCTGTGGATTATGGGGAGAGTGTGACGGGTGTGAGGACTGTGGGCCACAAGTGCTGCTGTGGGCTTCTGCTCAGAGGAGCTGTCACTGTAAAGTGACAAACTGCACTTAGGCAAGTTGTTATGCAAGTTATTATACACTATACTGTTTTCTGACCTATATTATAATGTTTTTTCCTCTTCACAGACAGACCTGGAGTTGTGTTTTGTTTCATTCACACATGTTTAACACAGAAACTCTGCATATTTAAGATGAGCTCTCCTCCAAAACACAAAACATTGTGTTCCACTTTCCAAATAAAGTTTATTTTGTTATACTGGAATACCAAATGAATATCTTTGAAGTAACTGTGTTCCACATTGTGATGTCATGTGGTAATACAGGAAGTGCACCATGGTCTTTTCAAACTCCATATACCTCCACTATCATTTGCATTAGCCCCTGAATTACCCATCTTTACTAAACAAAAGTACCTAGTAATAATGCAGGATCACTCAAATATGTGTAAATGAAACAAAATACAACTTCACATATGTTTTTGATGATGTTACAATCTTCTGACATGACTTAAAGCTCACAGGTGTCAATTTTGTGTAATGCAGGACCTTGAAAAAAAAAAATTAGATCTGATGAAAATGTCCCACATAACAGGAGGATGAACCCATAAAAAAGGGTCTAAAATACAGAATCTTCTGCTTATCCAAAACCAGGGGGGTAGCGGTTCTAGTCCGAGCTCCTCAAGTGACTGGGCTCCTCATCCTAGCTCTGAAGGAGGACACACAGATTGGCCATATCAGTCAATCAGTGTATTTATTCTTACTTGTATTAATCTTGTTGTCAGGGCTTCAAATAAGAATACAATTTGAATGTCAGAACAGGAGCGTGGTGAAGACCTACTCTTAACCAAACTGGCATGAAAATTAATAATAATAATAATAATAATAATAATAATATCTTTAACTGGGAATGTAGACTGTCTATCCATTCCCAAGTCTTTACAACACTGACACCATCTCATTAGGCTGTATTGCCCATTGACTGTACAAAAAAACTTCAAAAACTTCTGCTGTTTTGCTAGAGACTGGAATGTTGAAATCAATGTTCAAATTGAACTGTAAGGATCTACAGTTTAAAGGTTCACTATGTCATTTTTTGAAGCTTTGCCACCTTCTCCTTGCCATGGAGATGTTACAGCTTTGACTGCAATGTTGCACACTAATAAGTTTACAGATCAAAATAATAAGTAAAAAATAATAACCAAATGTATTTATCTGGAATATAAATGGATATTTTTACTCTTGAATCTATTCTAAAAGACAATTCTGATGCACTGAGGACAAACTGGGACTGACCCAGGGCAGACCAAATGATAACCTTACACAGAAAGATAAATTTCAGCTCAGCTCCCGCTTCACCGTTGTGGTGAAGCGGGAGCTGAGCCGAAAGGTGA